TGCCCTCGAAGAGAACAGCCCCCAGTCTGTACCGATCCATGGGGTTCTTCCTCCCCAGATGCAGTACTTGACACTTGCCCTTATTGAATTGCATTCGATTTCTCCCCGCCCAGCTCTCCAGCCTGTCCAGGTCACGCTGGATGGCAGCACGGCCTTGCCAAGAAGCCTGCTGAAACGCAGAATTGAAAAATCTGATTAAATCTATAAAATCTGTCCACTTCAAGGTAAGGGAGTATGTATTTTCCCTTTTCCATATATATAAATTCGGTAAAGGTGTTACTGTTACTTCAGATCAGCACCCAAACACACTCCTTTAAAGATCATTTTAACTGGCAGCAAATGAAAACTCTTCAGCTCGTTCCCGAAGCCGTCGGGAAACCAGTTGGTAACGAATAACCGGGCGGCAGGTGCCTGGGGCAGGGCCGCTTCGCAGCAGGGCAGGGGAAGGGCACGGGCTGCGGCTCCGTGAACACCCTTGGCGTCGGAGGTGGCTCGGTGCGGAGGTGGTGGGGTGAAATACTCCACCTGGTACACGGGAGACAGACCCGTTCGTCAGAGCCATCGCAAAACCTCTGTGCACGTGCTGTTGGCTGGGGCTTTACGGTTGTTCCTGGCCATTCCTTGCTTTTCTGTGACAGGTCTGCTGCCTTGTACTGCCTCGAACTCGCCCTCCGGCTCGAAGGACGTTAGGTCCTTTTATATGCAGCTTTATCCATTCTCCGGACACAAAATGAGTATTTGTGCTACTTTATGGTAACAGGAGGTTTTTAGCTGCTGGTCTCGTGGGACAATACCATTCCGGCATCGTCCAGAGCAGAGCATCAGGAGAGAGGGTAAAGCGTTCATTTCCAAACTGTGCTGCGCTAGGAGTATTCACAGGAAAAAGGTTAAGCATTGATCTTTTTCAAGTCATCAGTAGATTTAATTTCACTTTTCCTATGATTTCTTTCCATAGAAGGTATCTTCATTTGGGTCTCTTCAAACTATACCAGTACTAAAAATTAACAACGTATTTTGTTTATTATGTTATTAATTGTGTAACATTTTAACATCATTATGGACAAACATGTCCAGTTTGTATTTATTTTCTTTTACAATGATTTTGGCCAGACACCATCTCTGATGCCTGGACGGGGGAAGGTTCCCAGGAAATGATAGATGTCTGGTTTCTAAAAATCAGTTTTGTTCCAAGGCGTTTCAGCTGGAAGCAGCGATTCCTTTCAGAAAAGCCGGTCACAGCGTTCCTAGAACTTGTTTTTGTGGACAAGCAGAAAGCAAACTTTAGGTCCTGTGACAACAAAACTGTTGTGCTCAAATACCTTCCCTTAAACAGTGATAAAGCTTGCGCAAATATTTTTTTTTCCAGTGAACGTAATTACAAAGTAATGAACAAGTGCACCAAAATCCTTCTGGTAGCAAAGAGCAGGAGCAACAAACACTTTCACGTGCCTACACGGGGGTTAAGGGAAAGCCAGTCCTGGATGAGAACTGCTGCCTGCAGAGCCGGCGTCGGCGCTGGTTTGCCGGGCACGGGCAGTGCATGCAGCATCGCGACGGGGCGAGCAGGAGGAGCGGGTGATGCTGCCCTAGATGTTGGTGTTTCCAACGGCTTCGTGCTGTTGATGCTGAATCCAGCAAAGGGCAGACAGATCGCTTGTGTGAGTTAGGGTTAGACTTCACAGCGTTCGCTGTTCACAGGTGTCTTCTGTCTCCAGGTCACTTACATGGTGTAGGTTTCCTCTTTGGTGGTAGGATCTATGGGCCCTGCTCCCAGAATATTGGCATGAGGGAAGCAAAACATCAGAGATGTCTGGTTTGCTGCCTTCCTCCCCCAGCTCATCCTCTCCTTGGCTAGTGGTTCATTTCTGGCCCTGCAGCACCTCTGGGGCCTAACTTCTCAGTAGGAAGCTCTTGCTTCTCTTTTTGCTGCTGTCATAAATCCGTTCGGATTTGCAGGATTTTCTTGTCTGGATGGTTCAGAGCATCTTTCCTGGGGAGCTCCTGAGCACGCTGGGGTGTGTGTTCTTGCCGTCCTGCTGGGAGGCTGCTCTGAGCTTTCTGCAGAGCTGCCTTCAGACTTCGGAAGAAGCTTTGGCATCAGTCTCCAGTTGGAACTGCTGTTTCCTGTTCGCCCTTTGTTTTTAAGAGAGTGTTGCCCACTAGTTCTGTGTGAGGACAAGATACGTTTTTCCTTCAAAGAACAATTTAAAAGGGAAAAACGCCAACCTTACAGATTTGGGGGGGATGAGTGTGTGGCGGACTGACGAAATGTTCACCTTCATCACTCAGTGCCAGCGTGGGAGCGTTCCCTTGCACCATCTTGCGGCCTACTCACGGCAAAGTCTCAGCTGCAGAGGCTCCTCTTCATGTAACTTGAGTTTTTCCAATCTTTTCAGAAAGTCTAGGCAAGGAAAAAGGACGGTGGTACCTATGGAGGAAATTCAAGGAAGCAGTGACTGAATGGCTGAGGTTTTACTAGGCAGTGAATTCATCTCTGACCAAATTTACTGGATAAATAGGTTTTTGATAGCATGCAGTACTGTAATTTAATATGAAAATATAACTTAGACACGTCCTAGAGATGATCACGACTGACCGTTTAAGTCCTTGAGTTGCCCAGGTGCCTTGGCTGTCCTCGCGTGCTGTTTCACTCTGCCTGGTTCCTGCTCAGCCGGGAGCTGAGCGCCCTCTGGATGGATGTCACCTTTTTGGGTTGGGTAGGACACTGCTGGCACACCAGCTTCCATTTTTTTAATCCGTTGACACGAAAGCTGAAGGGAAAATGTACAGACGTAAAGGAAGTTTAGTCAGCAATACAACACGGCTTGTGCTCCTTTGGAGTTGACAGCTTCGCAGGCAAGAGAGAGATGCTTGCCTCAGTGGGTTATAATTATACACTGGAGGTGTTAGAATTGCTTTAATATTGGATTGAAATAACATACTGTTTTCTTGAGTATCTGCAAGAAGTACAGTGTTGGAGGTGAAGTTTGTACGTGTGTTGTAAACATGCCTGGGATTTCACTGTGAACCACCATCTGGGAATACTAATTTAAATTTAATTGATATTTTTATTTAGCTTGCGAGTCAGACAAGGTTTTCATATTCATTTTTGGAGTCGTTAGATTAATGCATTGTGTATTGACAGGGAAACTGAAGCATTCTGTTGCCCTGTGATGAGGCCTTGGGGTTACTTGCTGGCTCTGAGCATCAGCCATTAAAATCCATTTACTTAAATTTGGCGAAGTCCTAACGGGCTGAAAAAAAGGAATTTTTCGTCTCGTTTCCTTGAGTGCCAGAATTGCACCAAAGGAGATAATTGGTTAATGAGGGCTTGTCTCCTTGGTGCCTGGGGAATGTGATAGGGTTGATCGTCTTGCTGCTGGGGTCCCACTCCCCTCAGCTGATTTACGTCTGTTGGCAGCACAGAGCAAACAAATCCTCGTCGGCTGTTTATTTCACTCGCTCTCAACGTACCGTCTCACGCGGTGACTGTGAAGGCTTCGGAGCTGAGGCGCTGGGGGTTACGCTGTGACCGTATGGCGCGGTGAGACCGGGTCGGTCTGGGGGTCTGGGCGGGCTGTGGCAGGGAGAGCCTGGTGCTGGGGACCTGCTCAGCACCCAGGATGGACGCGCTGTCCTGTGGGACTCGAGGAAGACACCGAATCCCCTCCTGCTGTATCTTTTTGGTCCAGTCTGTTGCAGAATGATGCTTGCTCACCTCACTGGGTCTTGCAAAGCCTTCAAGTACAGTTTGTGATTTTGAGACTCAGGGGGAAGATGTCATTTATTTACCACTTGTCACAGCCTTCCTTTAAAGGGCTTTGCTGCTTGCGTTTCTCTCCATCCCCTCCTCGTGTCTCCACTTTCGCCTGTGCCAGTTGCAGGTTTGGGCTTTGGCTGTTTCTGCTTTCCCATCAGGGTGTGAGCATCCAGCTGCCGTTGTACCACCCGGCCATGCTTGTGTCCTGGGGCGAGCCGAGGTTAGGCTGTGGACCACCTTGTCAGGACAGGAGCACTGCGAGAGCGCTGGAGTCTGCACAAAACCAGTCCTGGTAACTGCAGGAACCCAATTTTAATTTGTAACATCCCTCTCTCATTTTTTAATAGGATTTCGCAACCTGCATGTGGATGACCAGATGTCGATAATCCAGTACTCTTGGATGGGCCTCATGGTTTTTGCTATGGGTTGGAGATCTTTCACCAACGTCAATTCCAGGATGCTTTACTTCGCTCCAGACTTGGTCTTCAATGAGTAAGTGCCAAATAACGACCTAATATTGTGCTTTGTCTGGGTCAGGCTAGGTGAGAAGTGAGAAGACAAGGGATTTGTTTCCTGCCTCGTTGTGAAACATAGAGCCAGAGTAACTCTGCTTTCAGAGCTCACCAACAAGCACAGGGCAGCCCTGCTTTTCCCTTCTAATCGCTCTGCAGCCATCTCCAGGAGCAATAAGCAGAGTTGCAATGTCTCTCCCTTTCCCTCAGCCTTGCCCCAGCGTTCAGCCTCCACCGGGGCAGCCGCAAGTGCCGGTGCTGGGCGTGGGGGGCTGGTTTCAGCTTGGTCAGTTGGAGGGAGCAGAAACAAGAGTATATTGTAAGTTCCCCGTGGGTTCTCTCTGATGTACCATCAGCTTAGAGTTGAGGAGGGTTTGTTCACACGGAGGTAGAAGAGCTTAAAACCAATAACTTAGCACAGCAGCGAGCAAAAGCAAGAGCTCTGAGCTGGGTTTCACATCCTTCGTGGATAACCAGAGGTGAATCGGTGCAGGAAGGCAGAGGGTCAAACGAGCTCTGCACATCCCAGGTAGCCATCCGTTTCCAGGCGAGGAGGTTCACAAGTGGGTGTTTTGGGAAAACGGTCCTCGCCTGCAGGCAGGCCTATTGCTGCCAGCATCCTCCGAGACAGTGCCTGGGCTCTTGGCAGCGGGGATGTGCCGGGCGAGGCTGGGATTGCTGGGCTGGGCAGAGCATGTCCTCCCACACGCATCAGACAGGCAGCGCTTTGATCTCCTCGCCGTGCGTCACGCATCTTGCCCTGCCAGGTACCGGATGCACAAATCCAGAATGTACAGCCAGTGTGTCAGGATGCGGCACCTCTCTCAGGAGTTCGGCTGGCTTCAGATCACACCCCAGGAGTTTCTCTGCATGAAGGCTCTGCTCTTCTTCAGTATTAGTAAGTACTCACATCCTTTCCTCAACACATCTCCAGCTGCCGTACGCTGTATCGCCCTAGGGGTACCTGGTGCTTTCCCTGTGCATGTACTCTCACCTCCCAGGGGATGCTCTCCTCTCTGCTGCAATCTGAGCTGCTCAGAGACAACGAGCTGCTGAGCGCAAGGGTGTCACCACCCGTCCCACCCCTGCACAGTGCCGCATTTCTCCCCTGGCCCTCCTGCCGGAGGTTGCTCCTCAACCGAACTGCTGCCATCCTGGGGACCTCCGAGCATCGGCTGCTGAGCAGGGCCACGGCGCTGCAGTTTGCTGCCTCACCTCTCTTCTTTACTGAGTGCTGAACAAGGGTCTTGGGGTTAGCAGCAGTCCAACCAGCCGGTCAGAGTGAGGGCCATAGCAGAAGCAGGGCGGGTGGGCAGATCTTTCCTCTTCGCTCTACACTGACTGCTTCTTCAGCCTTCCTCTTGCTCTTTTATTCTCTCCACTCTGTGGGTACCTCTTACTGTTTCCCTCCCCTGTTCCAACAAGTTCCAGTGGATGGCCTGAAGAACCAGAAGCTCTTTGATGAACTTCGAATGAATTACATTAAGGAACTTGACCGCATCATTGCTTGCAAGAGGAAGAACCCTACCTCCTGCTCTCGGCGGTTTTACCAGCTCACCAAGGTCCTGGACTCCGTGCATCCTGTAAGCGGTGGCGCTGAAATGTCTATCCATACACATAAGAAGTGATATAAGAAAGAAACTTTTTACAGTGAGAACAGACATTCACTGGAACAACCTCCCCAGGGTCATGGTAGCCCCATCACTGGCAGGTTTCAGGGACAGGGTGCTAGGTAGTCTCATCCAGGCTGTCTTTCCCAGGGAAGCTTAGACCGGGTGACCTTTTGAGGTCCGTTCCACCATGGGTGATTCTGTGATGCTTTGAGGTTTGGTTTTTAACTCTTGGCACACCTTGGCGGGGACAGTATTGCAGTGTGCTCCCAAGTTAAGCGACAGAAAAAACAGGCACTGACTCTGCCGAGGGAGTGAAACGTAACCGTGTCTGTCGCTCCCTGCAATAACCACGCTTGTGCTTGGTTTTATGGGCTTCCTCTTATATAAATGAGTATCTCGTTGTAAGTGATGCTTTTCCATCGTCAGCCTAGCAGAACAGCTCAAAATCTCCACGCCCCCAGTGAATCTTCTCTGATTACAGCAAATTACTCTGATGCAGTGAAAACAAATTATCTATTTGTGACATAAAGTCATAGTGAGAGAATCTGAGCTAGACTTTTCCTCTTTCCTGGGGATCAGCTCCATGCCCATACAAACAAAAAGCAATTCTAGTAAGTGAAGTCAGCAGCATCTGCACACAGTAAGACAAGTTTCTGTAGGAGTAGGAAATTGCCATTTTTATACATCCCCTTTTTTGTGGGACTCAGTAATGTTTTGAGTGTGAAGGGCCATGGCAAAATACACTACATGCTCCCAGGCTGGGTAGGTCCCTCGCTCATCCTCGGGATGCATACCTGTCATCTGGTAACGGCTTGCCAGGCAGTGATGGCCAGACCAGAGCAGGTCCCACTGCAGCGAGGTCCAGCCCTGACCCGCTGTGCCCGCTGACATCCGCTCGGTATCTTCCCAGAGAAACCGCTGGGCAGGGACTTCTCGTTTAACAAACTTTCTTCCTTTCCCAGATTGCCAAGGATCTGCATCAGTTTACATTTGACCTTTTAATTAAGGCACATATGGTGAGCGTGGACTACCCTGAAATGATGGCCGAGATCATCTCTGTGCAGGTTCCCAAGATCCTGTCTGGAAAAGTCAAGCCTATCTACTTCCACACGCAGTGATCTTCGGAGGGATCTCCCTGTTCTGCCACCCCCATTTCAGCCATCTCCTGCCTGTTACTTCTGCACTACTGTACTGCAGTGCCTTGGGGAATCCCCTCTGCGGAGGCGAGAAAACGAACCCTGAGAGTCAACTACCTGCTGGGATTCCTGCGATTTCTGTTTCTCCTGAGGTACCTCTGAGCTGAACCCCCTGCCACGGCTTCTGCCGCGGTTTGGCTGGCTCGCTGTGCCGGCACAGGGGACTGGACGGTGGCAGCAGCACCCTGTCTGCGCTGTCTCGTTGGTGTGTTTTCCACAGTGACTTTCAGTGGCCCAGGACCATGGGAGATCGGGAGAAATGCCAGCAGTTGTTGGGTTTGGGTTGTCTTCTTTTTTTAAAACCAGGACAAGAAGCAGTTTGAACCTGTAAGTTTGGGTGTGGGTTACTTTCCTGGCCTCCTTTGGGCCTCTTTATTTGCATTATGGTGCTGGGAAGCAGATGAGTTAAAATACTGCAGCAGAGAAAGAGAGAAGAGCTGGGTGACGAGATGAATTTGTGCAGCCTGATGAATTTACAGGATCTGCTGCTGGGTCAGAAAGCTGCAGTGCAGCCGTTGTGGGGTCTGCTCTGCCTGTGGCCCCACAGCCCTGCCAGCGCAGCAGCACGGACAAGTGTTAGTATTAGCTGATGGGGAAGGTGACCTTTGGAAATCCCCAGAGATGGCAGATGGCCAGTTTTCCACCTTGGATGTTTTTCCTGCAGCTGGTCAAGCTGGATCTCGGTCTGACGCCCAGGGGCTCAGCAGTCACATCCCCGTCCCCAACAGCTGCTGCTCCTCCGACACAGCCGTACCCACCTCCGCAAGTGCCTGACGTCCTCAGACCTCACGCTCCCCCCCTGTAGCCCCCTGCCCAGCTCTACTCCTGCTGGGTGTTTGCAGACCCTGGGTTTCCGGCTGCATTGCTTATTTTCCGTTTGCCACAGCCCTTCTTTCTGATGCCAGCAGGTGAACGTCCCAGGAGCAAAGCAGCAGGGTCGGGATCGGCGAGGTCACAGGACTCTCGCTCTCAGCCCTGTCCTTTGGGAGGTGGCTGTGGTAACGGGCTGGAGCTGCCGTGGCGCTTCAGGGGGGGTGTAAAGGAAACGCTTTGGAGACCTTCTGCCCTTCGGAGCGGCACCCACGGCTCCTGCTAATTGCAGTGGTTGATTGCAGCCCAGGGGGACACAGTCCCGCGTGTGCTGTCGTGCACGCACCGTCCCGTGTGCACAGTCCTGTGTGCGTCGTCCCACGCACGCGGTCCCACGATCACCGTCCCACACATCCTGCCTGTCCCCCGCAGCTCCGTGTGGCATGGTGTTGGCACAGCCTGTGCCCAGGCTGACACAGCACAAGCCGCAGCTCTGGTGAGGATGCCGCGGGAGCTCCTGCCGTGAGGATGGATCCACGTGCCCTGGCTAATGGGGCACTCGGTCCACAGCCAGCCAGCAGCGAAGGTCGATGGGTGACTCCCAGCAGTCAGGAATTCCTGAGAAAAGCAGTCTGGGTTTATCAGGCATAAGCCTTGGTTTGACACCTGGCTGGGGGTGTCGGTGAGCAGGGTACGCGCAGGCTGTTGCCAGGGTGACGCTTCTCATCAGGGGCTTTCCCACGGTCTGGCTTCACCAACAGACCTGTGCAGGGGGTCCTGGCGCGGGCGCAGGCAGACAGCCCGTGCCTCCCCGCACAGGGTTCGCTGTGGGGCAGTGGTTTCACCGTTTTAAACGGAGCAGAGCTTGTGGCGGAACTGTGCCCACACACTCTGCCCACTCAGAGCACCGGTGGGGTCCTCCGGCGCCGGGACACCACCAGCACGAAGCGAATGCCGGAGCCTGGAGAAGCTCATCGCGCGGCGCTCTGCTCCCCCTGCGTAATGCCAGCTCCTCACCTTCGTCCACGCCCCTAAAAGCGGAGGGAATGAGGTTTAGGCCAGCTGATTGCCACGTCCGTCTCGTGCAGAAAACGGCACTAACGCTTCTGCTGCTTGGACCGTTCAGGTGCTGAGCATCACCGTCAGCTCTTCAGGCAAACGCCCTCATGGTACGCCTGGGTTCTTTGCAAACTCTCAGTAAGAACACTTAATTTTCCTGATAGTTTTCAGTCAAGCGATGGGATTTTCATTAAGGGAAGGGGAAAAAAACCCGCAAAACTATCGAAGTGGAGGATGTCCCTTTACAGTTATTTGGTTATCAGGTTTTCCTCCCCTGCTCATTATGGCTCAAGCTCATGCTTTTCCTCCTGAAATCCTGTCAGGTAGGTGGCAACAGAACCTGTAGATAACCTTCCTGAATGCCAGGCAACAGGACAGTAGCTTTTCCTAATTTATAGAGTGCTGCAAGCTTTTTAAGTGTTGGTATGATCTACTAATACTTGCCAATGAACCAGTAAAAAAATCCTGCTGGTGCATTTCTTTCTTCTTGAACATTTTCTGGCTGTTAGCAGAAGTGTACCATGGATAACTGGGTTGGTGATGCCCTGATCTGTCATCGGCAGGAGGGTGTTTATGAGCAATCTGGATCGCTCCTTTGGAGAGCAGTACATTCTTGCACAAGCCCGTGTCAGTAAAGTTGTCGTTAGCTAATGAGTGTGGAGGTGTCCTGCTGGGTACTTCTCGACTGGGAAGAAATCAAACCTCGTAGGGATTTGCTGGTGGAAGCATGCTGTGGATGAAGAAGGGTTTAGAGGGGGATGGTGCCTGTGTGTCACCTGCCAGACGGGTATGGTGCCTCTCCGACCCCGTATGCTTTAAGAGGGGAGCAGGAGCTCAGGGGAAGCTCCCCCGGCTGATGGGCAGGAGGGTGGGCAGACTGCCTTTGTCAGCGAGGCCCCCCGACCAACGCTGGGGTTAGGGTCTGTCTCTTCAGCGTCAAACTTCTGCGACTTTTTTATTCAGAAGTTGACTTTTTGTGCTGTTACTTGAGGGATGACGGGAGGCTGTGGGATGTGCCCCTGCATGCATTTTCTGGGGAGGGTTAACACTTTCCTCGTTTGTTTTCATGGGCTGTTGTACGCACTGGGGAAAAAAGAGGCTTAAGAAATACCAAAGCCCAGGTCCTGCCATGTATCTTTCGACTTTGTGTTTTCTTCTGTGCTTTCCTGTCTACTTTTGCTTTAATAAAGCAAAGAGAATGTCACCATTTTCGCGGTCGTGCAGAAGCTGTCCCCGAGGTGACCCTTGGGACAGCCAAGCCCTGTGAGTGGGGAGCCACGTCCCCCCTCGGTTTCGCTGGCTCTGCTCCAGGTTATCTAGGAACCGTGTGGGCTCTGTGCTGGCTGAATCCGGGTCGTGGCTCAGACCATCAGCTCCCGCCAACGGCAGATGGAAGACGAGGGACACGCGCGCTGGCGCTGACCCAGGCGCGGCATTTTTGCACGGATGGGTACAGTCTCACATGATAACGGGTGCGAGATGAGGTTGTCTTTAGGTAGTGCAGGAGGAGCTCTCCTCAATCCAGGCCCGGAAGCAGCGAGCCAGGTGAGGCGGTGCACTTGGATGCCCAGGCCCGCGGCGTTCCTGGGCCAGACCTTCGCCCGCCTCTGCTTGGCAGGATCCTGGGCAGGGAGGAGAGCGGGGGTAGCGCCTCTCCGCGGGGAGGGGCCGTGTGAGTGTTCCTAGAGAGCCTGGCAGCATCCAAACACTCTTCCCGTGGAAGTCCGAAGGCCCTTCGTGCTCGGCTTTGGGAAAATCGGAGCCAAGCCCGAGCAAGGAGCGCTGGGCCCCGTGCATGGCAAGGTGAGTCAGGGGAGGGGGGAGACTCGCCCCCTTTACCACGTGTCGCTTGGCCTGCGCAGTGCCCGGGGGGTCGTTGCCTTTGGTCCGTAGGGATGCTGGGGTGGTGCCCCCCTGCCAGGGGCTGGCAGCATCACTGGGAAGAGGCTCCCTCGCAGAGTCACTGCTTTCTGCAGCGGTGCTCCACTTGCTGATCTCTCCCTACGTGGTTCAGTAACGTACATTAAATGTATGTATGTATATAAAAAATGAAGAAAATAGAGCCGTGCCCCATTTTATATTGCTAAAGATATGTTCAGTGTAATGCTCCAAGAGACTACTGATTGCACACTGATTGCAACTAGGCAGTCTTCAGGAGATGGGTCCATATGGGCCAATATTAATGGAAACACTGAAATTAATCTTTTTTTCTAGTTAGGTACTGGCCAGTTTTCAAAGGTCCATTCTTTTGTGGCGTGAATGGAGCATGCACTGGCATGGTCTGGTGTCGGTATCTGCTACTCCAGCTTTCTTGTAGCCGATTCTGGTTAGACAGGGATAATATTTGCACTTGGGGGACAACGGAGTGTCCTTTATTTCTGCCCCCTTTGCACAAAGTGTCCTTGCACTTTTGGGCAGGATCCTGGAATTATAAAATGGTAGCTGTTTTCTAACTGACTCGAATTAGACTTTTTAGAGGCACAGCAATCCTTTCTTGCACCCTAAGGACTCATGTCCTGGGGCCCGCTGTCAAACGACAGAGCACCTGGAAGCTGGGCGAGATGCCAGCGTGGCAGGGGGACAGGCAGCCGCATCCCAGGGCTGGGACCCTCTGCTGCCCAGGGCAGTGGGGATGAAACCAGCTCCAGGCTCTGGGGAGCCCAGGGTGCTCCAGCCCGTTCACCAACAGCGTGGGGACAGAGTGGGTCCATGTGGGAACGGCGTGGGTCCGGAGGAGCGTGGTGCAGGCTGCAGCCCTCCCGCCCCCACCTATGCGTGCTCACCCGCTCCCGGGCAGCACGGAGGATGTTCTGCTCGTTCCCTTTTAAAATGGCAAGAGAACCTGCTCTTGTGATTCTAAAAGCAAATGTGTGCGCCACACAGAAAACCACAGCAAATTTATAATAAGCTGCTCTCCGTGCCGGGTATTTTGTGTTCTGTGGCAATTTAATGCTGGTTTTATTTGTTAATGTGCCTCTGTAATAAAGAGAGTTCTCTATATTGATGTATTTTATTTTCTTTGTAATAAGCCAAAAAGCTCATTGCTGGTGCCTTTTTGCGTGGGGAGGACTCCCAGCCCACGGCTGCGTTCGTGGAAGCAGAATGTCGCGGCAGTTGCTCGTTTCACCACAGCTGAGTAAAGTCGGGAAGCAAACACCGCAGGATTCCTGGAAAAAGAGCAGTAGCCTACAGAACGGGCAGGCAACCTTCAGGTACAGCGCTGTGGGTATTTCCCAGGC